ACTGTATAAAATTTTTTCTAGCTTGTCCCTTGCCTTTTGTTTTTGTGGAAATCATTCCTCTTTCTTCAGATTCTTAGTTACTTTGATGGTTTTTTTGCGGGGGGGCGGGGGGGCTTCCAATTTTTAGTGATTAGTACTTGTATGTAGAATAATCTGACATCATATTACTGTTTTAAGTAGAAGGTACGCATTTCCTAGAGTTGATTTTCAGAGTTCCAAATACACAGACTTTAGTGCGTAGGCTATAAATATGCCCCCTGGAGCTTTCTTCAAGATTCCAAGCTGTGTTCCAAGGGATTATGGTTGCAGCAGAGTGAGTAGGGAGCTAATCAGGAAACTTCTTGCTAAAATTTTCTATTTAATTTTTTATTCTTTTTTATCTTAATTTTAGTTACTTTCCGTGTTAAGTGGTGCTTTGTTGTATTCAGAATAGAAATTTATTTGTTGCAGTGTCATGCACATAAATAATACGTTTTCAAAATGTTATTCTTCCAGGCATAGTTAACTAGGTAGGAGTTCATGTTCCCCAAGAAGTCTACCCCTTTTAACATTTTAAGTAAGGTGATGAAAGCATGACGATTTACATATTTTTCTTCACTTCCATTTTCATTTTACACTTTTAATGTATATAGCATCTGTGGCTGTGTGATGTGAGATAGGGGTACAATCTGTCTTTTCCATTTGGTTAACAGTTTTTTCCTAGCTTATTTATTACATAGTCCCTTCTTTTTCGCCATTGATTTAAAATGTCACCTCTGTCATATGCAGAGTTCTGTATATGTGTAGGTCTGTTAGTGGGCCCTCTATTGCTGTTTTATGACTGTAGCTTCAAATTGAATTCTGATATATTTTTAGGACAAAAATTTGAGCTTTTGAGGCTTTTAGCAAATTGCAGTTACTTAAAACTTATAATGGATATCAGAATGAATTGCAACACAGTAAGGAAAGAGTTGGTCAAATTAAACAATGAGAACTCGGAGTATGAGGATAATTTTCAATTTTTAAAATTGTACTATAGTATATCTCACTTGGAAGAAATTTTGGATGCTGCTGCTCCTGTTTATAAGGTAGGTTTATATTCTGTCCCAGAAGGGAATGAAAATAAGGCCTTCAATTTTACAACATATATATTTAACAGAACCTTTCAACTTAGAGTTTGACCTTATAAAAATATGTATTGAAGAAAGGCAAAAAAATCAATATTTGGCCTGAAATATGCTGGCATTCCAGGAGGAGAAATTAAAATTGAAAATATACTCTATTTAGCAGAATTTAGTCTGAACTTACTTAAATACCTCAGATTCTTCTAGAGAATATTTTTTCAACTTAAAAGTATTGTGGTCTATAAAGAAGAGACCATATTGGGGGAAAGAACACTATCAACATTTATATTGGAATTATGTTGAATCAGTAAATCAATTTAGGACAATTAGTTATTTGCACAATACAAATTGCTTGTTTTTAATAAAGTTTTATACTTTCCCCTTTATAGGTCTTGAACATATTGTATTCCTAGGCAGTTGGTCTTCTGACACTATTATGAATAGTAGCTTCTAAGTTAAATTTTGTAGGTTTTTTCCCCCTCATCGCTGATATACAGAAACTATGTATTAAGTAAACTTTTAACAAAAAGAACATGAGGCAAAAGGAACTTACTTGTCAAACTGTTTCTTGTAAAATGTAAATAATTCCTAACTGTTCTTAAGTTTCTAAAAATTATTTGGGAAATGCTAATAGTAGGTGCCTCTGGAGGATGGGAATAGGAGAAATTTATACCTTTCAAAATTTTCGGCCGGGCGCTGTGGCTCACACCTGTAATCCTAGCACTCTGGGAGGCCAAGGCCAGCAGATCGCTTGAGGTCAGGAGTTTGAGACTGAGCAAGAGTGAGATCCCATCTCTACTAAAAAAAAAAAAAAAATAGAAATTAGCTGGACAACTAAAAATACATAGGAAAAAAAAAATTAGCTGGGCATGGTGGCGCATGCCTGTAGTCCCAGCTACTCGGGAGGCTGAGGCAGGAGGATTGCTTGAGCCCAGGAGTTTGAGGTTGCTGTGAGCTAGACTGACGCCACAGCACTCTAGTCTGGGCAACAGAGTGAGACTCTGTCTCAAAAATAAATAAATAAAATAAAATAAAATTTTTCCCCACATACACACAAATGAAACACAAGTTTAAAGGTTTTTGCTCTTTATTTAAAAGCCTTTTTAAGTCTCTTATTTTTCTTTCCCGTTTATTTACTGTGCCAAGTACTTAACGTGTATTAGCTCATTATTAGTTCAGTCCCCACAACTAATGAATTGTATATTTATTTTATAGATGAGAAAATAAACTTTAATATCTAAGCAGCTTACCTTGTGCTACACATTTAAATGGTTGAGCTCCCCATAGTATGGTTTTTTATCTTAGTTAATAAATATTTATGTGCTTTTGCCATAATTGCAGAACCAAAAGCCAACTATGTTTTCAACATAGCAGTTAAGAAAAAGGTTCTCAGGGAGTTCATATTTCAGAAGAGGAGGCAAACAAGACAGACAAAAAATAAATAATATAATTTCAGATACTTATGAATACAATGGAAAAATAATAAAAATAGAGAATAGACAGTGGTTCATACAGGTATTTTATATAGAAGGTTCTTTGTAAAGGTAACATTTGTGTGAAGGCCCTGAGCAAAATAAAGTAGTAAGACTGAAAGATCACAGCGAAGAATGTTTAAGACCTAGAACAGCAAGTGAACAGACTCAAATTAGGAATAGCCCTATTAGAGTGACAGAAGAAAAAATCTTGGGCTGTATCAGAGAAGGAATTGAAGTTGGGGGTTAGGGAGGAGACCCATCATAAAGTAATGTCCAGGCTAGTGGTCAGCAAACGGACCCATGGAGCCAAATTCAGCCTATGATCTGCAAGCTAAGAATGATTTTTATACTTTAGAAGGTTGTATTAAAGAGGGAACAAAATGAAGGCATGACGTAAGTCTTATGTGGCCCATTAAGTTTAAAATATTTGCCATTTGGCCTTTCGCAGAAAAAGTAGATTAGGTTTTGTTGGAGCAATCTTAACAAAAGTGCAATTCGGTCTCATTTGTGTGTGTCAAACAGATTGTAGTGGGATTTGGCACAGTGGAAGTCTGAAAATGAATTAAAACCTACTGCAGTAACCCTGGTAATAGATCAGAGATCTAGTCTCTTAGTCTAGAGGAAGAAGTGAAGGTAGTGAGAAGTGATTGGATTGAGGTTGTAATTTTAAAAGTAGTACCAATAAGAATTGCTGAGCAATTGATTTAGGTATGCCAGAACACATAGACTCTTCTCCATTTTTAGTTTCAAAAGGAATGCATACCCATTATTTTAAAATCTGTACATATATAAAATGTGCCCCTTGCCCAACCTCCTACAATTTAGATGTATCCACTATTAAAAATTTGTACATGTCCTTTCAAACATTTTTCACTTCCTTAAAAACACTAACATATTGCTCTGCAACTTGCGTTTTTCCCTTGATATAGTTCATTGTTTCTCTGTTACACAGATTTGACTCATTCTTTTTAGTGGGTATATATAGATGTACGTATACCGTAATTTTATGGAGGAATGTTTTAAGTTTTTGCCAATTTTTTTGTGGATAGAAAAGCTACAGTGAGCATGTGTTAAATTTTAAACTTTCTTTCTAGGTCTCATGCTGTTGCATGTGTCAATCAGTTTATCATCAGCAGGACTCAAGCTCTGATGTTGCACATTGATTCTTTTATTGAGGTAAGATTTGTCCCTGTCTCCCCCTTTGTTTTTGAGAAAGTTAGATAGTACTAACCGCATGTAGTTTTATTTTATAACTATAATCATTTATAATTATAAATTCAATCTTTAATGAAATGATTTCTGATAGTATTAAAATTGGATACAGGATACTTCGTAATTTTTGTTGAAAATTAAAATAGTTTTTCTGTTTCAAATTTTTCTACTTGTATTATGATATAAACATTGATTAGGGTGGAGGAGTATATAATATCTTGACTGCTTTAAAAATTTCTCAGTATACTATTCAAATTGCATATGGAAATTGAATCTCCCAGCTCGTATGCAGTATTTGAAATGTGGAGAATTGGGGAGGTTGGGTAAAGTTGACTTGATAAAGAATCTGAAGGTACAGACTAAAAGGACAGTATTTCTGGTTTTTCCTTTGGTTTCCACTGTAAAAATAGAATCATCAGGGAAAAAATAACTCTTAAGTCTCAGCAAGCATCTCTAAAGGCAGTTCGAACTTTGTGATAAAAACAGAAAGGAGCATAATTTTCTGGCCATGAACCATAAGCAGTACAATAACTTCTACTGCTTGGTAACAGTTGAAAAGATTATTAAAATTCCTTAAACACTTTCACTTTTATTTTCATTAAATGAAATTTAATAAAATAGTCCTTTCTATTCTTAAAAAGTTCTTTAGAGGTCAGACTACTGATATTATTGTTGGGAAATTATATGAAGGGGGGACAGATCATGGTTTTTATCTCTCATCGGTTGAATTGACCAGCTTCTTTTTGAGCATCTTTTACCAATAAACTAAGGGTAGTAGCCATTAAAGATTCTTTAGCCATTTGCAAGTTAACCAAAATGTGTCTTAAAGGGATTTTACTGAGTACTTACTATGAATCAAGCACTGTTCTTGATGCTAGGGGTATATTAATTTTATGCCTGCCAAGTGTTTTCTTTCAGCGTAGTGTAGTCTAGAGGTGGTTTAGTGTAGCAGATGATAATAGAGAACTGAAGTAAGACTGCCTGGGTTCAAATCCCCACTCCTAAGCTTAGTAACTGTGTCCTTGGACACTTCATTTAACTTATTTGACTGTTTCCTGTTTCATCATCTGTAAAATGAAGCCAGTAATTGTCCCGCCTTGTTGAATTGTTACAGAGCTAGTTGCTACAAATCAGTTGGAATAATGTCTACCACAGAGTAAGCACTTCATGTTAGCTATTAATTTAGAAGTAGTTGTATTTCCTGTTAGTGTTATTGTTTCACAGCTTAATAAAGGGGACAGTAATAGACATACCAGCATCTTATAAGGAAATATACTTTAGAATAAAAGAAATTAAATTCTCTCTGACAATAAAAATTCCATAGGACTGTGCTCAGCAAGTGGGGCAAGAACATTTCCTAACATTTTAAAATATTTTGCATTACTATTAAATACCACGTTAACAATTCTTTACTACTTTGATAATCCTACAAGATTCAGTCATTTCTCCACCTGTAAGAGCAGTAAACCTCTGGAGGAAGTGCCTAATACTTAGTAGGCCCTCAATAACAATTTGCTAAATGAATAAATGGACACATTATTTTCTTTAGTTATTAATGTTTTCATCAGGGGCTAATGTCATGTCTGCTAAGACTGACGGGATATTGATGAAAATATTGGTTACTAATACTTGGCTATAACATATACCTTGGCAAAGCTGGGTAGGGTATTCATTTAGTAACAGTAGTAACAAAAGAGACAAGTGCAAGGTGATGACATTGGACATCCCCACCCCCAACCCAGTTGCTGTCTCTAGAGGAAATTAATGAATTCTTAATAAAATTTAATGAAGGATACAAATCTAACGTATAGGCAGTGCCTATTGGGAAAACAGTCCTCTTCTCTGGCTATGTAAAATATCTCCAGTTGAAAGAGGAACTACAGAGTTTTGAGCACGTCACATGTGGGGAAATTAAAGTTTTTAAAATGCTATAGCAGTACTTCAAACACTCAGATTTAATCATTGAACGTCTCCTTTGTCTGTCATATAATAAGATTTAGGTTCATTTTTTAGAGACATTTCTGTGATTTCCTGGAAAAAGACAGTGAGACACTTTGGATTTTACTTATTTTTTAAATGCTCATTTTACTACTTTTAGCACGTATATGTAAATAAAGTAAAACTTGATGAGTGACATGAGGAAGGCCTCATTGTTTTTTCTTCTCACTTCCCTGCTTGCACCCTCTACAAGAGATGACTTGGTCTTCCAGTAGAAGCCTATTGGTATAGTGAAATGAGTGTGAAGTTGAGATTCCCTGAAACCCAGTTTCAGATCGTTTACTGGCTAGCAAGTTACCTGACTTCTATTAACTTCCATTTTCTCATTCGTAAAATTGAATAGCATCATCTCGGAGTTGTGGGGATTAAACAAAACAGGCTATTGTCATTCAGACATACCTTTTTTACCTTGTAGAGGAACTTGTAAGGAACAGTGTATGATTAATTACTACTTTTATTATTTTTTCAGCAGTTGAGTAGTTGACTCAGTGAACAACAGCAATTTATGGTTAAATTAGAAAATCAATGTTTGTTTCCCAATTATTGATGCTTTTAGAGAATTTGAACCTGTTATGACCTTAAGAATCAGGATTGGTAGGAATAGTCTGCTGTCTGACAGTAATTTCGAGGGGTAAATCAAATTGTATTTTAATGATTGTTTCTGCTTCTAGGTAAGCTAGATGAATGCCCGTGTCCTAATGGCATGGTTTCATTCTTACAAACTAAAAATGATCTCAAAACACAACTGATTCTACTCTGTCAGATGGCATTTCATCTTATATCAAAATCATAATCTTTGTCAGTTATCATTTCCACGTTTAAGGGTCTTATAATCTGATACTGTAGGCCAGTTAATTCAGTCATTTTTTTGTACTGTATCATCTTAGGATTTCTTTAATTAAACTTAAAGATTACTCATCACTGTGTATAAACCTTTCTAATATATTAGAATTTTTAAACTAGAAAAAAATGTGTTTCTTGTGCAATAGAATCTGTTTGCACTGGCTGGTGATGAAGAACCAGAGGTGCGGAAAAATGTGTGCCGGGCGCTTGTGATGTTGCTTGAAGTTCGAATGGATCGCCTGCTTCCTCACATGCATAATATAGTCGAGGTAACATGGACAGTTTAAAGGCTGTTTCCTTATCTCTCCCCCAAGAAAAATGTTGGCTACAAAATGGACAATGTGAAACCATGATTTTCGAATTTATACAACATATAGGATGTGGGGGTTATCAAAAAAATAATCATGATTGTCTTAAAATAATAAATTATGGGAATTTTTCCTTCGTAATATGTAAGATGTTATGGGGAAAAGTTAATGGAGTAGATAGCTTTTAGTTTAGGAAATATTTTGGTTTTGTGTTTACTAAAATATGGATTAGACTACATGATCATTAAAACTTTGGGAGATTAAGTGGCATATTCTCATGTTATTTAAGTTCAAAATCATTAGAATTTAGAAACTCTAAACTGTAAGAATTTGCATCCTACCCATTAATGGTAAAATTTGTCTGATTAATGAGATTTCTGACATAGCCATTATAGTTAGTTTGGGCAGACCATTTAGATTTTAAAAGACTCTCTTTTAATCGCTCTGTGATTAAAATTTTACCAGGAAATTCTAGATGCATTGATCACAGTTTTAGTCATATTTAAAGGAAGGGGAGTACATAATATCAAAATATAATATCAGAACAAAATTACTGTTTAGACAGTACTCAGTACTGCAAGAGTCAAGAGTCAGACTATACCATTAATTTTCGTGTTGCTGGGTATAGTTGTACGTGAGTATTATTACATAGCTTTGGCAGTGTTTTAAATAGCATATTATCTAGAGCCTCCCTTTCACTTCCAAAGTTCCAAATGGTGTGGATAGGGAGAATCTTTTTTTAAAAGATGAGATTTAAGATCTGTTGAAAGGCTAGCATCCATGGTATGCAGCAACTCCTGTTCTAAAACTTGAAGAGAAATAGTTGTAGAGATAAGGATACGTAGCAGTGTAAGATTGGGGTAAATGATGTTTGGGGGTATATTTTCTCTTTGAAGAGTCATGTGGGATTGGTTTAAAGTTTAGTGAGAAGAGTTCGGAGTTAACTAGAAACTTCAGAAATTTTATCAGTTGCTAGGTCACAGCTGGGGAGCCTAATTGCTAACGTTACAGTTCTTTCTTAAGCAATACTCAGTAGCACAGGAGTGGGACATGATGTGGCATGTAGTAGGGGCTGGCCTATGACAACTGTTATGTTGCCATAGTTTGTCATGTAAGATGTTTCAACCCAGAAGAAAACATATATAAGGAATTCATTATCTGACCCCAATTCTAGCCCCACGTACATTGAAAAATTACAAGTGAATTTGGGTTGCTATGCTCAGAGGACATGAGCAACCTATTTTGTTGAAAATTACAAATTAGTCACGATAAGAAATGTCACTACTTTCCAGTTTTATAATTTCGACGTGTATGTATCAGTTCAAATTTGAAAGTCTACATACATTGTAAGAGACAGCTTGAGTAGTTATAAAAAGATTTTTTATTTTAAAAAAGGTATAATCGTTATTTTATGTTTCTAAGAAGGCTTAATATTTGATTATTAACATTTACATTTCAGACATCTCAGAGGTTTCATAAAATGCAGCTACATAGAAACAGGTAAACAGTACATAGACTTAACACTTGTCATTTGACATTCTAAATCATTGGTTCTTAAATTCAGCTGCATTTTAATGTTACTTTGGAACCCTTTTTTTAATCCAAAAGCCTAGGTTGAGAACCATGATAAAGTAAAAGGCAATAGCAAAAGCCTCATGGTAGGATTGAATTTATATTAATTGTGTGATTTAAACTGATTAAGGATCTTTTGTTTACAGTACATGCTACAGAGGACTCAAGATCAAGATGAAAATGTGGCTTTAGAAGCCTGTGAGTTTTGGCTTACTTTAGCTGAGCAACCAATATGCAAAGATGTACTCGTAAGGCATCTTCCTAAGTAAGTATTCCTTCTTGTAAATGCTGCCTTGTTCTTTAATTTCCTAACAGTGATTTCTCATTTTTATAAAATTCATTCTGCCATCAGGGAGTGAGGTTCTAAAGAAGTCGGTCTTAATTTTACTATTGGTGTAAGTAAAGAGATTTTTCAAAAAGCAATTACCCTTTTTTTAAATTATGTGAGAGTGGTTTATTCTAAATCATAGTTAATTCTGAATATTTATGGCACAGTCCTTTTTTGTCTTTCTTTTTTTTTTTTTTTTTTTTTAACAATCCTTGTT